TAGATTCGGGGGTGGGAGTGGGGGTGGGGGTGGTGGTGGTGGTGTTAGTTTGTCTACAGACCACCGAACCAGTTTGGCGAGCCAAAACCCGATCTACAAATCTACTCATAAAACCTTTTTTCCTCTTGTTGGTTCCCTCTAGCAGTTATGACCTTTACAATTTGACCAATCTTGGTGAGGGACTTTGAAGGCCCCAGCATGAATACGTTTTGACCTTGAACAAAACCAGAAGTTGCTGGAAAAGCTCAGCAGGTCCGGCAGCACCTGTGAAGAAAAGATCAGAGTTAACATTTCGGGTCCGATGACCCTTCCTCAGATCTTGCCACCTACAGTTCTTTCCCCAACACAAGTACAGATTCATTAGCTAATACAGGAACGTACTTATTATTGAGCACGTTTCCATGCTTGCATTTGACCTGGAGAGACTTCATAGGGTCTGGGGTTACTGTTGGTGAACGGTTCAAGAAATGCTGCTATTTGAAAGGAGTGGGTGCCTCTGAAAGTCAACCACAAAGTTATCATGCATGTATAATAAATAATTAGAAAAATCAAATAGTACATTCACCTCTATTACACAGATTTTGGATAGCAAAAATGGTTACTGGAATGAGGGAAACTCCTTTGAGAAGCTGAGTAGACTGTGCCTACAATCCACAGAGTGTAAAAGAATGTATACTGACCTCATTGAAATAATATTCAAGACGCTTGAAAGCGTTGATGCTAGGATAATGTCTCCCCTCCATTACGTGTTAAAAGTCTCAGAAGGCAGCTCTGGCCATTCTGAACTGAAGAAGAGAAACTTTATGTAAAGGGAAGTATATCTTTGAAATTCTGTCTCAGATCATTGAATAAATTCAGAAAAGAATGAGTTGATGTTTGGATATTTAGGGATGGGGATAGTGCAGCAAGATGGAATTAATGTAGATCATTCATAACTGTTTAAAAAGGCAAAGCATGCTCAAAGGGCTAAACAGTTTCCCCCGCTCCTGCTTATATTCTTACGTTCTAAGGCTTCAAATTAGCTTATGTCCAAGTGTTCAGCTAATGGAGACAAATGAATGGCTTCTTTTCCCTTGTATTTTCAGTATCCATAAAATTGGCACCCAAAGAAGCTACTGCTGTTATTCCTTTCCAAGCTTCACTAGTAAACTAGCAGCACTTTTCTGATACCACATGCTTTCATTATTTTGCATCAATTCGGCATAATTAACCTCTGAATAATCTTTGTGCCATAGAGATTCATTGAAGACAAGTAAAAATGATAACAGCAGCACAATAGCTACTGTTGGGCCAAAGTTCAAACTCCATTCTAAATTATACCTCCTTTCGAAGGTGAGTTTTGACAATGAGTAGTTAGGCCGATATAGTCTATAAAACTCAGTGAATGATTGGGCTTTTTTGATAACATTTTAAGAAAGAAAACCTGAGCATAGTTTCATGATCACTGAATCTTTGGCTGCTCAGGACTATTCTAATTGTACCTCGTCTCACAACAAAACAGTGGACATGAAATAGGGAAGATAAAACAACAGGAAACAAAACACTCCAAAGAGATATTGTTAATTTAAAAGTTGTAATCTATGAAACATTAACCAGCAATCTCCATACACATGGTTGAAAATTAACAATGTTGATAAAGCTGCATTTTTAGATGTTTTCTTGACTAGTTTTGAAGAGTTACAACACTACTAAACCTTTCTATCATAGTTTAACTGGTTAAATGTCTTAGAAGAATACCATTTCATTTAGCCAATCAAACACTTAACAGACGTCTATTTAAAATTACAATCTTTACCAGTACAGCCACAACACAATAAAAACAGACATTATAATTTCTGCATTGCCAGTGTACAGGAACGTAGAACCTCAAGTGTTTCAAACCTTGTTTTTACACAGTTCCTCAGGTAATTGCTTGATTGAAAGTAAGTGACAATTAAACTAAGAACTATTCACCACAAAACTGCTGATTCTTTCAACCCAACGTGCAATGCAGGAACAGATCAAGAAATACATTTCAGGCCTTTGAAAAAAATTTCCCAAATCTTCAACAAGTCTTTACCATTTCATTCCTGTATTCTCATTTGCTTGTTTTGAAATGGAAAATAATTCTTGGCAGGATTAGTAAATAAGCACTTTTTTTTAAAACAGGCAATCATGTGAAACGGTTTGGCTTCACTACCTTGATTCAATAGTTCCACAATCTTATCTAACACTGCCAATCTTCACTTTACTTATACCCACCCCCAAAACAAACCAAGTACAATCAATCAAGAGAAAGTAGACCTGACCGCTTGAAATGTCGCTTCATACAGGTCAGACATTTTTTTCAAAATGTAATTACAAATACACATTTTTTTTCCATTAACCAATCAGACAGTCTGAATTTCAACGATACCAAATTTCACCACTCCGTATTTAAATTGCCACTTTACGCTTATCCATTCCAACCTTTTGCAGCTATTAGCTACAGTTTGACTTCGTTTGGAGGATATAAGTATCAAAAGCTGTTTTCCACCCAAGTGGAAGTGACGTTAACATTTTTTAGGAAATAAGTTGCTTCTTCATTTGCTATAAAACGCTGTTACAGTTTCCGCAGTAATGCACAATCTTTGAACACCACACACGAGTAAGGAAGCCAGACTTTTTCAGCATTATCTTTGATGTCACCCAAGAAAATGAAAATATTCAGCGGCTTATTTAACCCCATCATCGTCTCATTTTTTGCAAAGTACCCAACAGTGCTCTCCCTCACTACTCCAGGGTCCATAGTTTCCAAACTCTGTTTAAAGGGATACCTGTGGTATTTCAGATTCAAGAGGCCCTACTCCGGTCCCGAATAATGAACTATCCCAAAGTCATGAGAATGCGTTAGCACAGAAGTTCTGAGAGACTACTGAGCAATTGAACTTTCTCAACGTAACTCGTTCCGTAGAAGCTTACAATGGACACTAAAGTCAAAAGTTTATCTTTAAAAAAATGGCTTGTGTGCGCGCGCGTTATACTTGTTTAAACGAAGATGATCGAAGGTTTCCAGCTCCACTAGACACCGACTGTACCTCATTGCGTACGTGCACTGACCACAGCGCCTCTTCATCCCAAATGTTTGTGATACAAGCTTTAAAACACCCTTCACCACTACTTTACATGGTGCACACCAATAACTGGACATTACCCCAATGCACCAAAGAAAAACACTTTCCAACTGCTCCTCTCCTCCAAGGCACAGACACAAGACCAACACACGCGAACAAACCATTCACGAGGTAAGGTGGGGAAGCAAAGATTAGGGAAAGGAACACTTACTTCAATCCTGATTGCTAGTCCTGCAAAAATGATGATTTTAGTTTGCCCCTACCCACCGACGAACTAATTGACTCTCTTAACACCCCCCTCTACTTCCACAACTCTCTCCCTCGGTAACTCCTCCTCGACGCGCGTGCTACAGACACTTTAAAAAAATGGCGACGCCTCGCCTGCGGGTGCGCGCACAATCCCAACTTTTTGTTCCCGTCCCACACACAAAAAAAATGGAAAAAGTAACTGCCGCTGCGCGTGAACGCACGCGGCTGAAACACCCAACCCCGCCCGCACGCTCGCTCGCTCGCTCGCGCGCCAACAGAAACTGCCCAGCCCCTCCCCCACAGCGGGTCACAAACGAACCGCCCGTCGGGTGCCGGAGCGGCCTGTGGCCGTTAGTAGCACGCGAGCGGAGCGGAGGGGACTCGGAGCAACAAACGGAATGAAAGTGTCTCCGAAATTTCATCACCCCAACTCCCTAGCCCGTCAAAAATCTCCTTGTACATAACTCTCGCATACGAATATTGGAAGAAACCTGGTGATCGGATGAATTCTCTACCTCCCACCAACCCTCCCCCCGCTTTCTGTCCGTACCCACATACAACTCGTGAGAAATTACAGTCAACCTGACTCGTTCACATGCCTAAAGACCGAGGCAGACAGGGTTAAAACTCGAAAGCTTTCCTGCTTGCCTTGTAAATTACGAGTGGTGATGGTGCAATTTTGAAAGAATACGTAAAATGCAGTGTCCAGACGTCAGCATCGCCTACCTCCTCGAATACTTGCGGTCGGCCGTAGGTGTAATGTAAAATTTCCTGCGTGCCCAGATCAAGATTGTGTACGTATATGGTTACTGTCGCTGAGCTCCACGCCTTAGTGCTTTCCTGTACTAGTTCACTTTAATAGGGATGACTGGCCTTTCAAAGGTTGTAAATTATTATTTTTTCCGCGCTTTGCCTTTTCTCCCCCTGCAAATTTCCGGTCGAGTTGTGCACGCACATGGCAACACCGCAGGCATCCTCTTGAGAAGGACTCTCCTGGAACAGCCAAGCATATTGACTATGGGACAGCAATCGGCAGCCAAAAGGGGACGGCGGCACTCAGGCTTACCCTGCCTTTAGAGGTCTTCCTATTCAGCTCTGCCATAAAGTTTCCACTGGTGTCCAAAAGTTTATACCAAGCCATAACTGATCATGTTTGGAGAAGCCTGGTTATACCCTCCACTTGCCTTCCCATCTCTGATTCCCACTTTCTGACCACCCCAGAATTCACCTTCAAGGAGGTTATTTATCTTTGATGCGATAGTTTTTCTGTTTTACACAATTGCCTCGCAGACTCGCCCAGTTTAGCAGATTGAACAGTTCTCCAGCAATCGAGGAATTACTTACTGCCAGCTGTGGTCTGCTCCGCTGACGTCCATAGTTGATCCAGAAAGACGCTTATTAGCTGTTCTAATCTCAAAAGCAGATGTGTCTCCATCTCGTCAACATTTAACAAAAAAGATAGACCAAACAAAACCGTTCGCAAAAAGAAATACATGGAGTATACTAACTGTATATTAAAGAGAGCTGATTGTTGTCTTGTAAAAGCACGATAGAAGGCAATGTTAAAGATATGTCGATTTCACTTCACAGGAAGGTCAGTAATAATATCCCGATCAATGCATGAGCGAGACAGGGATAGATAGCTGTTAGCAACTCAAAAAGCTAAATTAAGGATCGCAGTTTTAATAAGAATACATTGTGCGGTGATATTGCCAAATAATAAAGCATTATGGAAATATACTTGGTAAATTTGAATTCGCGTACTCGGCTATTAGTATGATCTTTGCCAGAGTTCCGCATAAAAACTCTTTTTACTGTGCTTTCAATTTATGTCCGGCACTAGTTGTCCTCAGCACTGCTAGATTTGACAGCAGAAAAATCGCTATTCTGTAACATCTTGTGGAAAATGTGCGTGCGAGAATATCAGTAGAGAATAGAACCAGGTTCAAGTGTGATGCCGTTCGCAATGGAATTATCTCCACAGACCCGCTGCGTGGGCTCATTAGATTTAAAAATTACTTAGAATGTGAGCTACCTGGTGGTTTCCTTTAGGGGAGGAGAGAAGACTTTTAATTTAAATTCGTAATCAGTTATATTTTCAGAACCAAATAAATTTTTAAAAATGTTATAAGGACGAATTTAAAATTTGGTGTTCCAAAGACAATTAACTTCTTTACTAATAAAGTTTAGATTATGAATGGAGGACTCGTTGACAACAACCAAAAATGAGAAATGTTCTTGTTTGAAAAATTATTGTTTATAAGTTATTTTTAAAACTTTTTATGGAATGAAACGATATCAAGAAAGCTGCTCCATTTATTCTTTAGCCTCCATTCCTTAAAGTAACTGAGTACGGTGCTCAGAGAATCGTGAGGGGCATAGATATAGTGAATGGCAAGGGTCTTTTCTCCAGGTTGAGGGAGTTCAAAACTAGAGGGCACAGTTTTAAGATGAGAGGAGAAAGTTTTAAAAAGGACGTGAGGAGCAACGTTTTTACACAGAGAATAGTGCCTGTGTGGATGAACTGCCAGAGGAAGTGGTGGATGCAGGTACAGTTACAATATTTAAATAACGTTTGGATAAGTACATGAATGGGAAAGGTTTGGGACGATATGGGGCAAATTCAGGCAAGTGGAACTAGTTGAGAACATGGTTGGCAATGGACTAGTTGGACCAAAGGATCTCTGTCCATGTGGGCATGACTCTATAACGTCTGATGTAAGAAAAAATAATTTGGAGCACACAAGCAGGAGTTCTTAGGGTTTATTAAAAGTGTCAAATATGTTAATTGTTTCTCAGTAGTATTGTTATTTAACACTTTCTAGCCTCATGAAAATAAATATCAATGATTTAATTCCAGAGTTAACCGAATAAGTTGGCTGTACTAAAATGTATTGATTTTACAGAAAAGGTCACTGGTCAAAGCCACTAACAATTATGTGAAACTAATGAAAATGCATATGTCATGATAATTTTTTTAATGTGTTTTCTTTCATTTCGGACTAATTTTCTTTGGGTATCATTTGTTTTTATTTTGTTTTGGTTCAGTTACTCGAACATACTTTTATCTTTTAAATTAAATCCCAAAATTAATATACCTGTAAAACGAATACTTTGCCAATTCTTTGCTGGAAGTTAACAATATATGCAGTATAAAATTAAATATAATTTAGTCGAGATCACTAACCTATCACAACAAGTCCATTCACTTCCAAATGTGAATAAATCCCATGTCTCAGTATCTTCTCCAAGAGCTTCCTCAATACTGACGTCAGGCTCACTGGCCTATAATTACATGGATTATCTCTGTTTCCCTTCTTAAACAAAAAGGAACAACACTGGCCATTCTCCAGTCCTCTGGAACCTCGTGTGAGGCCAAAGAAGATGCAAAGATATTTAATAAGGACCCAGCTATTTCCTCTCTTGCCTCTCACAGTATCCCAGGATAGATTCCATCTGGCCCTGGGGACATGTCTACCTTAATACATTTCAACACTTCCTCCTTCATTATGTTCATCTGTCTGAGAGTATTCACATTCCATTCCCTAACCTCAACAACCCTCACGACCCTCCCTTTGGTGAATACCAATCTAAAGTACTCATTAAAGATCTCATCCATTTCCTCAGGCACCACACATAACCTGAGATAGTAAGAACTGCCGATGCTGGAGTCAAAGATAACACAGTGTGGAACTGGAGGAACACAACAGGCCAAGCAGCATCAGAGGAACAGGAAGCTGACTTTTCGGGTCGGGACCCTTCTTCAGAAATGGGGGAGGGGTAGGGGACTCTGAAATAAATAGGGAGAGGAGGGATGGGGCAGGGGAAGATAGGTGGGGTGGTGATAGAGAGTGCAGGTAGGCAATGGTGGGGGTTGGTCAGTAAGGTGGGAGGAGCGGACAGGTGGGAGCGAAGACGGACAGGTCAAGGAGGCAGGGATGAGAAGGAGGGTTGGTCATGGGATGCGGTCGGAGGTGGGGAGATTTTGAAGCTAGTAAAGTCCACATTGAGACTACATCGCACATAACCTCCCTCCTTTATCCATGAGTGGGCCTACTCTTTCCCTAGCTACCCTTTTGCTCCTAATATATGTATAAAATGCCTTGGGATTCTCCCTGCTAGCCAAGGACATATCATAGCCCCTTTTAGCCCTCCTAACTCCCTGTTTGTTCTTTTTCCTACTTTCTCTATATTCTTCAAACTTCCAATAGCTTTTTACTGGAACTGTCAGGACTCCAAAAAGCAATACAGACAATAAATATCCTGAGGTTAAGAAATTATACTCTTAAGAAATCATTTCATGCTTCCTTACATGAATTAAATACAATTGATGATGGTGATCCTAAGTAACATTGTCATCACCTTCTTGAATTATACTTTTGTATCTGAGCAAAAAAAGGTCTGGTGGGTTCTGGCCCCTTCAAGGAAGGTTTTGTAATAAAGACGCATGTAAAACCACTCCAGTGATTGCGCCTTAGTACCATAATGTCTGTTTTGGATTAAAATGCTACAGAATTGAATTTCTGGCTCAAGTGGTGAAAACTAAACAATGTGAAAGATATCTTTGATTCAACTGTATCAAACCTATTTCATTATTTATATATGCAATCCCATGATTGAAGTCCATCTTTGCGCTTGATATCCAGAGCCCTTGATCCATGGAAGATAACTAGAATGTTTTCCATCCTGACAACATGTTTAGTATACTTGCAAGATGTAGGCTCAAGTAACCATGCCTACTATTGCATTTTTGTGCCAACATAGTTTCTCCATCCTCCAGCCAATTTCATTTTATTTCTTTACAGCATTTCTCTGGAGAAGCCAGCACACAATGAAAGAGAAGACTTATTTAGCGGACTCCCCACTCTTTATCTCTTTTTCCACATCAAGTAGACAGCTAACTTCTCAATTCCTTTGAGAAAATCTTTGAAAAGCAAGTTATGTTCAGTAGGATGCCTAATACCAGCTTCAGATCTGTATTATCAACAGTGCCCTATAGACTACACTGAGTAATGTAATTGAATTTTTTTTATTCTTCATATCTGGTCAGACAAGATTCTGTCCATGACATCACTGAGACATCCTTTCTCCGATGTTCTGCAATGTTCTCTTTAGTCAATATTGCTTCTTTTTGTTCCTTTCTTATCTTTCTCAAACATCTTGTATTCAGCAATATTTAATACCCAGTCCTGCTGTTCCTTGATCCAGGTCTCTGTTATTACCATAACATCACATTTCCATGTGGCTATCTGTATCTTCAATTCTTTCATCTTATTTACCACTCACTAGGCATTCCCACATGTATGGACTGTGACCCTGTGACTTTATTACTTACCCTTTTAAGTTGAATCCACCAAATAGCTTACTATTCCCTGCTCTTATATTATCTGCCTCACCCAATATTTTTTGCAGATTGGTATTCTTTGGTATTACCTCCTGGTTCTCACACCGCTGTCAAAATGGTTTTTCTCTCTCCAATAACAACAAGCAAATCTTTCTTCAAGGAACCCTTTGGCTTCCCATCTTCCCCCAAGACTGATCCCAATGTCCCAAGAGTCTTAAGCCATTCATCCTCTCCCCATTGGCACTATTTTGAAGTTAGATTCAAGATGCCAGCAGCAGCACATAGGAAGTGTTTGGGCTTCTGAGCCTATCCACTCTGATCACCAGGCCAGCCACATTTTTTTTTGTCTCTTCCTTTATATTTCATATCAAACTCCATTGTATCTTCTTTCTGCAGCTACGTTGGATGAAGAGAACAAAAGATGAACTTTGTCTTAATTATTTATATTTATATTTACTATAATTAAAATGGCACCGGAGTATGATGACTTAAACAATTTTCACTGTATTTTCCTAAGTACAAGTGACAATAAATTGCTATTACTGTTATCTCTTGAGCTACACATGCGTCTACACTATCTTCCTATCTCTCCATTCACTTACATGTGGTAGCATAAGTAATATGAAAGTTGCTACTTTAGAGGTGCTGCTGCTAATTTCCTACCTAACTCCGTGAATTCTAACAGCAGGACATTTATCATTCTTTCTATGTCATCAGTGTTAGCATTGACCACAACTGCTGGTTGTTCACTCTCCCCCAGCAGGGTGCGCTGCAGCATCCAGTGACAACCTTGACACTGGCACCATCCTGGATTTGTGCCACTGGACACAAAAACACTTCTCAGTTCTGCTATCTGTTGAATTTCCTATCACTATTGCTGTACCAGTCTTCTTTGTGCCTCCAATCCCATACAGTTGAGCCTACCATGACTTGGCGCTGAATGCACTACTAAGATGGACCATTCTTTATATGCTATACTCCTAGGTAAGCTGCTCCAGGACAGATATAATATTTGTATTTGCCTGCGAATGTGTAAAATTGTCTAGGTATGTCCTGCCCACAATAAGCACATCAAATCCAACCTAGCCAGTGAAAACCCCCATCGATCCACTCTTGACCGTCAGCAAATTGATTGAAGGTGTCAATGTCTTTGACAATGCTGTTAAGTGGCACTTTACATAGCAATAATCTGAACATTGATGCACATGTTAGGATGTGCTTGGATCACTCACCCTATGCTCCCCAAATCTGTCCACATCAATAAGGCCAAATTCAGGGTGTGATGCAATAATCCTCACTTCTTTAAATGAATATGACTCCAATATCATTCAACAGACTGTCCATTATCCAAAGGTCAAAGCAACATGCTTAGCCAGTACCTTGCACATCAGATCAAATGTTCACTCCCCTCACCACTATTTCATTGTGGCAGAAAAGTATACATATACAAGATGACCTAGAGCAGCTCATCAAGTCTTCTTGACAACACCTTCCAAACTTGCAATCTTTACCAACTAGGAGGACAAAAATAGCAGACGATCCAATTCATCACCCAAGTTCTCCTGCAAGCCACACACCATTCTGGCTTGAAACTATAGTGCTGTTCCTTCAAAAGAACTAGGTCAGAAACTTGGAACTGCCTCCTGAACAGCACTGCAGTTGCAGATACACCAAATCAACTGCAACAGTTGAAGAAAGAAGCTCATCTTCACCTTCTCTAGGGCAATTAGTGATATGCAACAATGCTGGCCTAGTCAGTGACACTTACATCCCGTGAAAGAATAAAAGAAATGATGACAGCTTGCATGATATGATCTCAAATAGATTATTTAAAGGGCCAAACACCTGAATGGTGTACATGTATTGCTGTCTGTGGACACAGATTGCATCAGTAAGTGACAAGTCAGATTTGTACTGAACATTGCACAATCATTAGTAAACTTTTCCACTTAGAATCATACAGTACAGAAGAGGCCCTTGGCTTATTGAGTCTGCATTGACATAAACTATTCTGAATCTAAATTTTGCAGCACTTTGGCTCAGAGCCTTTAATGTTATGACATTTGAAGTGGTTATCCAAGTCCTTTTTAAAGGCTGTGTGGTTTCCTGCCTCAACCACCCTCCCAGACAGTGCATTCCAGATTCCCACAACCGTATGGGTTAAAAGAAAATGTCCTCAAATCCCATCGAAACCTCCTGCCTTTCATGATAAAATTATGTCCACTTGTTATTGACCATCCAATGAAGCTGCTTTCTATCCACCCTGTCCATGCCCCTCATAATTTTATACACCTCAGTGAGGTCCCCTGCCTTCTCTGCTGTAAAGAAAACAACCTGAGCTAATCCAGCTTCTCTTCATAGGTGAACCACTCCATCCGAGGGAATATCCTGGTGAATCTCCTCTGCACCTCCTCCTGTACAATCACATCCTTCCTATGGTGCGATGACTAAAACTACACACAGTACTCCAGCAGTGGCCTAACCAAAGTTTTGTACAAGTCCAATATAATCTCCTTACTCTAATAATCTGTTCCATGACTAATCATCACAGGTGTCCCATATGCCTTCTTAATTACCCTATTAGCCTGGCCTGCTGCTTCAGCAATCTGTGGACAAGCATCT